CGGGAGTCGATTCTCACCTCACCCTGTAATACAGTGACCTACATGACTCATTTGGTAGGCAGGGTATGGCTATTGCCCTCTCGGAACCAGCGAACCATGCACTACTGGCATGGAAACCAGTCAACGACCACATGGCTTGCGTTCGACTAAAGGGTCATTTTACGAACATCTCTGTCGTCTCTGTGTATACACCAAAATCAGCGGCCGAACAGCAAGACAAAGAACATTTCTTCTCGCAGCTATAAGATCTAGTTTAAATACTTCCTCCCCGTGATCTGTTAATTATTACCGGGGATTCGAATGGCTGTACAGCATCCAGTGCTCCTTCAAAGAGCCACCGTCTTGGTTGTTTTGGTCTCGGCTCTCAAAACGGCAATGGTGAGAGGATGCCGTAGTTTGCTGAACAGAACCGACTGTTTGTTACCAGTGCATGATTTCAGCATCATAACAAACATATACTGACCTGGTATTCAATCGACGGTCGTACCGCCAGTAAGATCGATTAAATTATAGTTATTTCATGGGTTTTCAGTTGGGTCCACGATAGCAGGTCGAGGCGAGGTTCCGAAATTGGTATCGTTGCCACTTCGTTCCGCCAACTGCGAGGGCTGACTGCAAAGTTGACTAGAAAGTACCGGTTGAAGAATTGGTCGAAAACGGCGACGTCTATGGAGGAGGCGTCAAGTGTTGGCGACACTCTGTGATTCTATTTTCGATGTGACCGGTGTTTTGATTGCGGAAACTCGGCCAAGGTCAAACGCTAGCGCGAACACTTCTCACAGCTCCCTAACCCTTGAAGTGTAACCCATCACACACTCTCTCCTCCGCAGCTGATTTTCAACCCATTTTAGCCTACGCAGTGTCGTGTGGCCTTCCTTACGAAAATGATGTTGCTGACGCAATGCAGAGACTACGCAGCAAAAAAGCGTGCGGAGAGGACGGTATTTCCGCAGAAATCTACTTGTCTTTTGTGGAAAATCTGGCTCCCCGGCTCCATGAGGTGATTGTACAGGCGTGGCAAGACGAAGCCGTTCCTGATGACAAGGGCTCAGGCATTCTTGTACCTGTCCACATGAAAAGATGTAAGACAAGATGCGAGAACTACCATGACATAAGTCTTATCGATGTAGGTGCAAAGATCCTCGCCATTGTCCATCTCAGGCAATTCCAGTCTGTGCGTGACTCCAGGACGCCTCCCAACGAAGTCGGATTCCGCGCTGAGCGTGTAGGTGCAGACCAGATATTTACATTGAGGTGCATTCTAGAATTCCGTACTAGCTACCAACAACCGACGGCTGTGCCTGTTGTTGACTTCGCTTCGCATTCAATTCAATCCATCGTGAGTCTCTGTGGCGAATAATGGAACTAGATGGAGTGCCAACCAAACTCATTGCTTTGATTGAGGCCCACTATCGGTCCACCACCGCACGAGTTTTGGTTCATAACAATCTCTCTCAACCGTTCGATATCTGGTCCGGTGTCCGAAAGGGCTGCGTCCTGTCACCTATTTTGTTTAACTTCGTCATTGACTGGATTCTCGGGAAGATCCTAGACGAAGAAGACGATATTGAGCTTGCAAATGGAAGCCGGCTGACTGATCTCGTCTACGCCGATGACATTTCGCTGCTAACCTTAAGCTTAAGTGGTCTACAATCTATAGTGTCCCGGGTAAATGAGATGGCTATGTCGGTTGGAATGTCCATAAATACCAGAAAAATGAAGTAATTCTCGAGCTGCTTCCCTGACCAGGAGAAGACACAACTGGGAATTAATGGCCATCACCTTTAAGAATTGGACAGTTTAAATGCCTCGGTGCTAGGCTGCTACGGAATAAGAAGAGCAAAGACGACATTGTCTCCCGCATTAATGCTGCTCGCAGGGTTTTCTCAATCCTTCGAAAGCGCCTATGGGTCCGGCGCGATATATCCATCGCCATAAAGGTTCCTGTATACCTTGCATCCATCCGGTCCGTCCTCCTCTATTAATGCGATTACTAGACTTTGCACGATGAAGATGAGCGAAGAATGGAAGTTTTTGAGTACAGACGCCTGAGGATCATCCTGCGAGTTAAGTATACCGACTTAATTTTGAAGGAGGCAGTCCGCACCCGCTACGATCGTATCACGAAGCTATCTGATTCCATTAAAGAAAGGCGAATGAAGTCGTTTTGACACGTTCTCCATCGTCCACCCCACGAACTCAGCTACGCTGCCCTCGAGCAGGCGCCACAGCCCACCTGGAGGCGTCGAAGAGGAGGGGAACTTAAGACTCGGCTCGACAACGTCCTTCAAGACATGAAAGCATTTCTTGGACCCTTTATGCTCGGTTTCCGTCGCTGAAGAAGAGACTGGGTGGAGCTCTCCGGAGCCGCTGCCGCCAATCATCACGCATGAAGAGGTACTGTCCGTGACATCACTAAGGCCGCCTAAATCGGGCATGAGCAGAGCCGTCACAAGTAAAAGTAACTTGTTTACAGTTATCATACTTTCTTTAAAGATGGCATTTGGAATGAAAAAAAATGCTTTGAACGGAATAATAATGCTAAAACTTATAAACCCTTAGAAGTTATGTTTTAAGTCTGGACAATTTTAACAGCCACAGTACCCGTCAGCTTTTGGATACATTAAAGTAACGACATTTTTCAGTAGGTTAGCTCTTTCTCAGGCCCATTTTCAGCATTATTCTATTCTCTCTGTCGGCGCAAACACCATCCTACTAATAATGCTCGATCACACATAATAGATAGGAGACAGAAGATTTATGGTTGACGGCCTAAGCTTTGTTAGGTATCCAGGTATTTAGGAGGTCAGGTGGTGATCATTTGTTTGCTTTGCACAAGTCTTCATCAAGCCAATTTATTTATGTATAAACGGGGTCGAATAAACCACGCTACCGTCTAGATAAGTAAATTTAACTTATGCGCGTCAACTAGTATTCCGATTAAGGCCATGTGATTTTTCAAAACCCAATGGTAGGCCAACAAATGCATGCATATTTGAATAAGTTTGTAGTCGCCGCATTAAACTTAGCAAGGCCCTTGGCCAGTAGGCAATGGGGTTGTATTCGGTTGGGGCATCAAAGCAGAACAAACTAAAGAATAAACATGGTAAATTTGGACTGCGGGAATGTATGCTAACCCTCAGGAGCCACCGAAAATATATGAGCCAGCACATTTTCGACATTTTTGCGTCGCAATTGCCTTCAAACTGAAGAGTCGTCTGTGATGTTTCGTATGACACAGGAAATAATGCCTTCAATCAATACTTACCCTGCCAGTATACAGTACGCATGAGCCTCTTTTCAGCTGTATAGCAAGCGAATACTGACTTGTTGATGTTTCCTTATCGCTCATAGTTGAAAGTAAATGTGAAGGTGTCACTTTCCTCTTGGATTTCTAAAGATAAAATGCATCCGTTAAGAGCCTATACTAATTGTTCTTGTTAACTTCTGGCATAATGAGGGTTATTATAGAGGGCTTACGGCACTATCCCGTCTCCAAACGGGTCGTTATTCCTGAGCACAGTAACCTGTTGTCCAGGGTGCACTCTAACATCTACAGGGAAATTCATTATTTGACAGAGAGTGTAATGACAGTTAATAAAGCATGCCTTAGTTATTTTCGGGATGTTTTGCAATGAGTCCATGATTATAATTGCAACCAGCGCCCAGAACAAAAACACGGCGCAAAAGTAATGACGTCAATTTACTTCTGTTATTTTCATTCAAACAACTGAAAGAAGTGACGATAAGCATTGAGCGCAATTTTGCATTGTGGTTAGCAGGAGGATTGGTGAAAA